GAGTTTGAGCCCCACATTTGGCTCTGCGCTTTCAGTGCAGAGCCTGCTTGGGATTCTCTCTCTCTTTCTCTGCCCCTCCCCCACGTGTATGTGTGTGCGCGTGTGTGCATGTGTGTGTGTACTCTCTCACTCTCTCTCTCAAAGTAAAGAAATAAACATTTAAGAAAAGACAGGAAATCAGTTTAATGCAGCATCAAAGAAAGAGAAGCAATGATCAAGAGTGTCAGAAGCCTCAGACATCTATAGTAGGTTGAATGGTAACTGCCCCCCCCTGAAGATATGCCCACATCTTAATCCTGGAACCTATGGATATTACCTTATTTGGAAATGAAGAGATTAAGCAATATGACCAAAGTGGCAGAGATTGGAGTGATTTGGTCACAAGTCAAGGAATGCAAACAGTTACCAGAAGCTAGAAGAGACAAGGCAAGATAGTTCCCTAAAGCCTCCAGAGGAATGGCAGCTGTTTTGGATTGTGGGCTCAGAACTGAGAGGAAATAAATTTCAGTTGTTTGAAGCTATCCAGTTTGTGCTAATTTGTTACAGTAGCCACAGGAACTAATAAAACATATGAGAATAAATATAATCGATTTTGCTATCAAGAAGGATGATGCTGGTCACATTCAAGAAAATAGTTTCAATAAAGTGATGTGAATAAAGCCACATGCAAAGGTTACAAGGCAGAGGTTCCCAAACTTTCTCAGTTTATGGGGTCTTTTTTATCTCAGTAATTTTTTTTGTAGGGTTCATAGGTCAAAAGAAATACTGAACAGTTGATTAAGTAGTCAGTTTCAAACAACTTACTCAGTATTTGTGTACTAGCAACTCAGTAGCTGTTTGAAAAATACATAAAAATTAAAAAATATTTGATTTTAGTTTTAAATAATCACAATCACTTACTAATGGGCTACATGCACCTATTACACATTACACAACTTCCTAAATTTTGGGATTAGATTTCACATCAACTACTGTCATTTTCTGTTCCTCACTGATTTCCAACCCATAGTTGCTTTATACCACGGCAACTGCTAAAAATCCAGCTTTTCAAAGATACGACATTATGGAAAAGGAAGGTAGGGCTATCTAATGTTAAAGCTGAACTATCTCGAGCTAATACTTTGTGTGGTGTCAGAAAGACGTCAAACACTATTGTGTTTTCCTAAAAAATTTTACAGTATTCCCCAGGCATTCTCACTGTAGCTGGGGCACCTAGGCACACTTTAGAAACCATGGATTTAAGGAGTGAGAGCTGAAAAAATGTATATAGAAAGTGGAGATGATATTTATATGATGTTTAGTAGAGGCTTAGGGAAGAAAAGCCAGAAGATCTTCAGAATATTAGCAAAGCTATTCTAAAGTTATAGGAAGAAACAACAATAACAACAAAAGATGTATTAGACTACACCAAAATTTAAAACTTCTGTGCATCAAAGGACACAACAGAATGAAAAAGGAGCCTACAGAATGGGAGAAAATGTTTGTAAATCATGTATCTGATAAGGGGTCAATACCTAGAATATATAAAGTACTCCCACAACTCAAAAACAAAAACACAAACAACCTGATTCAAAAATGGCAAAGAACTTAGACATTTCTCAAAAAAAATATATACAAATGACCAAGAAATATATGAAAAGATACTCAACATCACTAATTATTAGAGAAATGTAAATCAAGTCCACAATGAGATAGCACCTCACATCCTTTAAGATGACCACTATAAAAGCAAATCAAAACAGGAAATAGCAATTATTGGCAAGGATATGGAGAAACTGGGACCCTTGTGCACCATTGCTGGGAATGTAAAATGGTGTAGGCATTAGGGAAAACAGCATGGAGTTTCCTCAAAAACATTAAAATAGAATTCCCACATAATCTAGCAATCCCACTTCTGGGTATATGCCCCAAAGAAGTGAAAGCAGGAACTCAAACAGATATTTGTACACCCATGTTCATAACGGTATTATTCATTATAGCCAAAAAGTAGAAGCAATGCAAATGCCCGCTGACAGATGAATGAACAAAATATGGCATGTATATGTATACAATGAAATATTATCCAGCCTTAAAAAGGAAGGAAATTCTACATGCTACAACATGGATGGATCTTGAGGACATCACTCTAAGAGAAATAAGGCAGTCACGAAAAGAAAAATACTGTAGAATTTCATTTATATGTGATACTAAGAGTGGTCAAAATCATAGAGACAGAAAGTGGAATGTTGTTTGCCAAGGCATGGGTGCTGTGTTGGCACAGGCAGTTGTTTAATGGATACAGAGTTTCAAATTTGTAAGATAAAAAGAATTCTTGAGCTTGGTTGCAATACAAGGTAGTTGTATTTAACACTACTAAACTGCATACTTAAAAATGGCTAAGATGGTATATTTTATGTATTTGGCCACAATTTTTTTTTTTAACTTAAGGCAATAAGTCATGATTTGGATCACATTAACCAAAGGAACAGGATTTCTACCAGACTCTGCCTAGGTAGCTAAAATATATGCAGCATTAGCACTCCACATATTCAATAAACTATTTCTCCAAAATTAGTGCAATGCCAAACTTTAACCGAATCTGAAATAAACATCATACATAATAAATTAGTGAGATTTCAGTGTATAGTGAATATTGACCAGAGATATTTTCAAAAACATCCTATGAAAGCATCAAAAATCCATTTTCTTTGCACACACATAAATATAGTAAAATAGAGGAAATTATTTAACTATATGTAGAAACACTGATGGGCAGTAAAAGTGATCATTTTGACCATGCTTTTTATAGCTTAGCAAATATTTTCCCTTCTCAGATTTCCTGTTTTGCTCAGAGGAACTTTGTTGTTTTGAAAACAATGCACCCAAGGCCCTTGTAGCTTTTACATCAAACTACTGTACTGCCATAAAATAAGCACTTTCTAGTGCATTCCAGGGTGGTCCTACTCAACCTAACTGGACTTTCCTATTTTTTAGAGCTGATCATACCGTGGTCTTTTCTAAACATGAATATGGGAGAATTATTTTTTTCTTATCAGTACTTTTGAGCAAAGCCAACATCCTTAGGCAATTTTCCCGAGTCACCAGGACATGAATCAGTCAAAAAATTGAAGACGAACTCTGCAATTTTCTCTGTGCTCGACAAAGCAGTCAAAAACTGGAAAATCAGAAAGAACTGTTATGTCAGGAAGAATTTGGTTAGAGTGAAACTCTCCCTACGTTTCTTAAATCCAAACAAGTTATAAAGCTCAAACTAAATTTTGCTTATTCCATAATATGAGGATCTGTTTGAGAAACAGAGCTTAGATAACAAGAACAGAACATAGCAACCTTGTTTGTTGTGATCCTGGCAAAGAAATAACTGCAAGCCTGATAGTTAATGACTGATTAAAAAATACATTGTATTTGAAGAGTGATTTTGTTAACTTGCACTTATATTATTGGCTGAAGAAAGTATTTGTTGATAAGCAGATTGTAATTTTGTATCAGATCAAGGCCCTAAAAAAAAAATACCCAGTTTTCTATCTAAGGAACTATAATCTAGGAATGGTAGAAAAGTAGTACAAAAGAATTAAAATTACCTTTGAGAAGGAAATATATGTTCATAACAGCAGAAGATGGAAAAGAATTTTTAATAATATCTGCTATCTTACACATTTATCTAAATAAATCCTAAATAATTACTTCATTCAAGAATAAACGGCCAAGATAAAGCAGAGCGGTAATCATAGCTTGCTATGATAAATTGACCACAAAGGAGTATTCAAGTCAGCTAATTTACTCCCTTTAAGTGGCTCTTTTTGGAATGAAGAGAAAGCAAAACTTAGTCTCTAAATGTACCCAACTGAAAAAATAAAAGTTAACAGTCTGAGATTAATTCAATTTAAAAGCATGGGAGATTTTTGGGGCGCCTGGGTGTCTCAGTCGGTTGAACGTCCGACTTCGGCTCAGGTCATGATCTTGCGGTCTGTGAGCTGAGCCCCACG